CCCATGTCTCCTGCACCCCACAGTGCCCCCAGTCCCCCCCATCTGCCCCTCAAACTCAGGGTGTTGCAAGGAAACTCAAATCTGGTCATGTCAAGTTGACCAGACTCCCAGAAGTCTTTTCGAGATGACTCAAAATTGGCAGTGATTGTGGCCTAAAGTTAACCCCAGTAAAATGCAACATTGAAAACAATGGAGCAATAGAGCCTTAACATAAAACCATAGCGTGGTCATGTTGGGGAGTAATTAATTTGGGGATGGGAAAATAACAGGAAAATATTCTCCAGGTGCAAGGGTGTGCTATTGTATTTTTAGGATCTGTGAGCCAAAATATTATATAACAAGCTTGGCTAGCATTGATAATGGTGATGTCACGAAAGGGTTAAACAGCCTGAGCAGGTGAAGTTGCTGCTGCTGCTGCTGTCGGACCATCTGCACCGATGTCGAAAGGAGGAGCAGCCCTTCGGACCCGGAGCAACAGCGCAACCCGGGCAGCTTTGCCAGGGCGGGCGGCTGCGGGAGGCAACTCCTGCATCACAGCTCTAGCCAGGCGGTGAAGTCACCTTAACGCGCTCAGTCTGCTGCTATTCTGGCGATCCCAGTCAAGGTGACCCCTTGTACTCCGGCGGTCCCCGCTGATGAACTGCTTTGTGCCTAGCAGATGTTTTGTACTCAGCGTAGCTTCTGCCTGGTTGTGGGGCGAGTGCCGGTGGCTAATCGCAGCGCTCTCCTCGCCCGCAGAGCAGAGGGCTTGGATGAGTTTCAGCCCAGCACAGGGAACCCCCTCCAAACCCCCCTGCCGCCACACAAAGAGCCATGGTAGCCCCCTTATCTGGCCAACCCCGAGACCCATGGATGGGGGTGGATGTTGGGGTCCGCCTTGCCCCCCAAAGCCGTGTGCTGCTTTGAGAGAGTTGTGACCCCCCCCCCCCCCACCCTCACACACACACACACACACACACTACTGCTGGGCAGGTTTGTGCTTTTTGGGAGCCTTGTGTCCAGCACTACTTTAGGGCAGGCTTGAGCCTAGTTGTATAGGCCCCGTCGCTAAGGAAGTGATGTCAGCAAAAGAAGGGGGAGGGAAAAGCTGGGAACAGACAGAGAGGGGTGGAGCTGCTGCTAGGTTACGAGATACCCTCGCCATCTGCCCCCCTTCCCTGGACGCTGGAAGGGGTGGGGGGGCGTTGGT